CCCCAAAACCCCAAAACCCCAAAACCCCAAAATACCATAGAATAAATATTAAATATGTTAAACCCCCCATCACAGCCCTCAGCAGCCTCAGAATCCCTCAAACTCCTAAATTCCCCTGGTCAAGACTCCTCATCTCATAAAATCACTTCAACCGAAGTCTATGCTCTATCACTTCTAGCAATTAACAACTCGATGACTTTCTGGATGGCCTATATCGTGGTCTACATTAACCCAGGAGATACTCCCTACACAAGCATGGAAGTTGACCTTGAGCTCACTGAGACGCAGTACGGACTCCTTTCAGGAGTCACGTACTTCTTACTAAGTGCGCTGTTTTCCATCTTCCTAGGAGCCTTGGTAGATAAGTACTCAAGGAAATGGACTCTAGTAGTCGCAGCCTTCCTGTGGTCAGGGCTGGTTGTAGCTCAAAGTTTCGCAACTAATTTCACAACCATAATAATTCCGAGAATCATGATGGAGATTGCCCTTACTGCTTCGAATGCAAGCGCCCTCAGTTTAATCAGTGATTATTTCAGTGCTGAATATAGGGGCAGAGCATGAAGTTTGTATGAATTCGGCGTCTATGTTGGCATTGGCCTCAGCTCTTTTAGTATTGTGCTAGCCAAACTGACTGGGTGGAGGAATACACTCAGGATTTGTGGAGGAGTCGGTGCATTTGTTGCATTCCTAACTTTGTTCATTAAAGAACCGCAAAGAGGCAAGTTCAATTCTCTCCAAGATAATAAAGAAATAGAAGATATCTCAAAATCGCTCTCTCAGATTGAGAAATTTAAGACAAGTTTGAAAATTATATTTACAAATAAAGTTTGAATTCTTCTGTGCTTGTCAAATATTGTGAGATACTTTGGAAGCTCAGCCATTGGATTTTGGTCAGTTAAGTTTTTCAAAAGCAAGTTTCCTGATTATCAATCAGAATATTCTATCATCAATGGAGTCAGTGTAATCACAATCAATCTGATTTCATTGTATGTGGGAGGAGCCATAGGGGATTATTATGAACAGAAAACCCCTGCTGCAAAATCGTATATCATTGCAATTGGAGCTTTGATTTCATTCCCATTCTTACTGGTGGCATTTAAATTCTCAAACAACTTCTGGCTCTCAGTGTCACTTTTCATGTTCAGCTTCTTATTCTCTGAATCATGGAGAGGTATTGTGTTCTCGATGCTACAGAATGTGTTTCCATCCCAACTGATAGGATCAGCTTTTGCAGTATTTCAAGTGAGCGGAGGAATTACTGGGGCATCCTCGAGCCTCTTGCTTGGAATTCTCAGTGATAAGTACAATGCTGCTGAGAATCCAACTGCAGCTGGGAACTTGCTTACCATTGTTGTTGGGTCTGCCTACATTGGATCTGCTCCCCTGTTTCTACTTTCAGGTTATTTCTATGGTAAATATCAGTTTTCACAATGTTAAGACCAAATATTCTCAACCTATCCCAAATTTGTGGGGTTTTGGGGTTTTGGGGTTTTGGGG